GGAAACTGGCCTGGCTGTTTGGTTAGTGATGTCATGAAGGTGCTGGCGAAACCTGTCAGCTAAGCGAAGGCCGGTTTCCCCGATGTACTTGATGTTGCACCGTTTGCAGATGATAGCATAGATGACGTTCCTACTAGTGCAGGAGAATTCATCTTTTATGCTAAAAGTGCCTTTAGGGAAAGTCACATCTGAAGTATTCAGCACGTATGGGCAGGTGTTGCACTGAGATCTAAGGCAAGCCTTAGTGCCCGGATGAGTTGGGGCGGGTCCCCGTACTCTGCTGTGTACCAGTAAATCTCTGAGGTTGCGGTCCCGCTTATATGCCAGTAGAGGTGTCTCTGAAAACACAGCGTTGGTTACTGGGTCCGCTCGGAGGATAGACATATGGCGGAATAGGATGTTCTTGATAGCAATGTTATGAGGGTGGTAAGTTAAGGAAAGTATGGGTCTAAGGTTCTGCCGTTTAGGCCTGTGGATGAAAGCATCCACCCGACTGATGCTCTGGGAGCGGCGGAAGGCAGATTCTAAGACAGACTCAGGATATCCACGTGATCGGAAGAAATTCATCATTTCGTGGGCCCTACTGTGAAAGTCATCATCATCCTGGCATAATCGTCGAAGACGCAAGAGTTGAGAGAAAGGAATGGCGTCCTTACAAGACCGAGGATGAGAGGAGTCATAGAGTAGAAAGGCATGGGAGTCGGTCGGTTTATAGTAGACCGATGTAGTGAGACCACGAGGGTTGATAGAAACTGAAAGGTCCAAGAAATTGACTGAAGAGGAAGAAATATGGTGGGTTAGTTGGATACTGGGGTGAAAATTCGAGAAGAATTCAATGAAGTTTTCCAGTTCCACTACTGACATATCGGTGACACCAAAACCATCATCAATATATCTCCTATACAATTCAGGAACTCGACCTGTGTACAGTAGCCACACCTGGTATTCCAGAAAACCCATGAAGAGGCAGGCATAACTAGGGCCCATTTTAGTGCCCATAGCCACACCATTGATTTGACTTTTCATGCTTTCCTGTCCTGTGCAATCTTCAATGCAGTTTTCCATGTCAAAGATGCCGCACTCAGGTCACTTTCCATCGTTCGTCTCCATGTTGTTTTTGGAAGCCCCTGTTTTCTCTTTCCCTCTGGTGTCCATGTGAGAGCTGTTTTGGCAGGTATATCAGAAGTCATTCTTATAACGTGGCCAAGCCATTTCCATCTTCTCTTGGTAATCATACTGTCTAAAGTTTCTTGGTTTGTGGTTTGAAGTAGTTTAGTGTTTGAGATTGTATCTGGCCATAAAATTTTGATAATTCTACGTAGACATGTGTGGTTGAAGGTGGACAGCTTGTGTGCATCCTTTTTGGTCATTCTCCAGCATTCCACTCCATAGAGAAGAACTGGCAAAATGATGCTCTTGTAGAGTCGGAGTTTCGTTCCTCTGCAGTAATTGTTGGATTTCCAGATTTGCCTCATCTTTCCAAAAGCAGCTCTAGCTTTATTCAGACGTGACTGTATGTCTTCCTCTGTCCCTCCCAGTAGGGACACCACACTGCCAAGATGTTCTACATTTTTAAGTGATTGGTTACTTATGGTCACTGGTTGTTGGTTTGGACTGTTTGTTATGATCTTAGTTTTCTTTGTATTTATTCTCAGTCCCACCATTTCTGCTATGCAGTTTAGTCTGTTACTTTTCTCTTGTATATGTTCATGTTTATGTGATAGGAGTGCTATATCATCTGCAAAATCAAGGTCCTCAAGCATGGTGAATGGAGTCCATCGTATGCCTCTTAATGTCCTGTCTACTGTGTTCTTTAGTATCCAATCAATCGCAAGGTTGAGGAGGAGAGATGACATAACACATCCCTGTCTTACACCCGTCATTACTGGGAAAGATGTGTTGTAATTTTTTATACTGCAGGAAAAGTCTTTATAGAAGAGAGCAATGATGTTGACTATTTTTTTCTGGAATTCCATAATGTCGTAAAATTTTCCACACATTGTCTCTATGGACGCTGTCAAAAGCTTTCTCAAAGTCCACAAAATTAATATATATACTTCTCTGCCATTCGTTGCATTGTTCTAAAATGTTCCGTATGGCGAAGATGTGCTCAGTTGTTCCTCTGCCCTTTCTGAATCCTGCTTGTTCCACTCGTAGGGATTTATCTACTCCTTTTTCAAGCCGTATTATGATGATTTTACAAAATATTTTGCTTGGTTCTGAGAGTAGAGTAATTCCCCTCTAATTATTGCAGTCTGCTAAGTCTCCTTTTTGGGGGATTTTGACTATTGTTCCTTCAGTCCAGTCATCAGGCAACACTTCTTTTTCCCAAATATCCTTGAACAATGGTTCTAGAATGCTAGCAGTTGTGTTGGGATCTACTTTGAGAAGTTCTGCTGACAATTCGTTACAGTAGTAAATGTACTTCCCCAAACCGCATTCAAGAGAAGGCACGCAATTTATTTATCAATTTGTCTACCAATAGGTTTATATATATATATATATTACTTTAATCCTTTCCCTGCCTGTGTGTGTTACTTCAGTCTCTGCCAGTCTCTTCCTGCTAAATCACTTTCTTCTCCTTGTCCCTTATGTCTAAATTATGTCCTTTTTGTTTTTCTATTCTTCATCATCATAAACCACTTCTGTCGTTTAGCGTCGTGGGAAGGAATAATTTGCGATCCAGCGAAGGCTTGCTGCCACTGACTATTGTCAAGCCATGATGGCTTAGAATGTCTGTAATATTGTCGATCCATTGTTTTCGCGATGGACCTCTTGCTCTTGGGATGCGTTGCTTGTGATTGGATCTGATCTTGCTGCAGTCTAACGAGAGGGCCAAACCACTTGATCTGTTGTTTCTTGTTGAATCTAGTACAAGGTGTTCGTTATCATCATTTCTCTGATATTATCATTATTCACTCGGTCTCGGATGGTCAGGTTGGCTGCTTTTTTCAAGCATCTCATCTCGCAAGTGGTGATTTTGTTTACATGGGCTTTAGATAGTGTCCATATGTGGCACTGTTAGCCTAATGTTGGAATTAATATGCTATTTATAAAACTATATCTCCCGATGACATTTAACAGCAAAAATAAAAGTTGTTAATGATGATGATGATGATGATAATTATGATGATGATAATCTGGTCTGCATCCATGTGTGATTAGTCAGAATATTTACATCCTTGCCAGTAATTGCTAATTACTCATCGTGTCTCTTCTTTGTATAGTCAGACGGGGCCTAGGCGTTGTGAATGCGCTTCGTAATGTCAGGGTACTGGTTTCGATACCTGCTGCATGTGATTTGGGAGCAGACCGCCTTGCTTTGGTTTTGACATTCGAAAGCTGACTGCTTAGGAAGCAAGGGCAAGCTACTAAAAGGGAATTTTTGTTCTGTGAACCCCGGGTGTTAGCGAGTCACTTATAAGTATTAATTCTCTAGACCTTTGAAGCTGATGTCAGGTTTTGTCAGACATTTAAATAATCAGTCAGTCAGGTGCCGTCTCTATCATAACCATGTTAACACATATAACACTTTTTGCTCACACAATCATCAGAGCTAGCCAGTTAGAATGAAATTTGTGCATGTAATCGGTACAATATATACATATAATAGTGAATAGATCAACAAGAGTTCATTGAGTGGAGCTCAGGAATCAATGACACAACCCAGATATTGAAGCAGCCAGATCTTGATTCAGGAGAGTACATGAGTTCATCATCGGTCTGATCAGGTGCTGTGGGAATAGAGCATGAAGGGTGAATACAAGATCACTTAACCCAGTTCGTAGGTCGATGCTCCCCTCAGTCCATGGTGATTCGACTGTAGTTGACTCAATCAGTAGTTGGGCCTTGATTTGATCGGGTACCAGCTGACTGTCACGAGCTAGGACACAGGAACTGCACAGGAGCCCACCAAAGCTCTTGGAGACAGTGATGCCCACTGCCGTCTCACAGGTGATGACACAATAAATGCAGAAGAGCCCAACAAAGCTCTTGAAGACTGGTTCTCTGGATTGATGACATAGGTGTCTGCAATTGTCCACTGGTCCTGGAACTCACAAACAAGCTCTTGCCATGTTCAGGTAGTGGCTCTGCATACAGAACTTTTCTGATACTCTTGGTGCACAGAATGGTATGGGTTGGTGGTTGTTGGCTGGACTGTGATTCGTCTGCCTGATCTCTAAGGAGGTATCATCCCAAGCTTAGGAAATCTTCCAAGATAGAAATGGAACTTTGAATGCGCCAATTTCTACATAGACTGTTTACACGTCTTGACACTTTGGGATCAGGCGAAAGAATGTTTTTTTTTTCAAAATCAAACTAGCGTCTCTAGGAAAGAAGTCCCCTATATTCCTGCATAAAGAGTAAACCGGTTTACAGGAATTTCTAAATAAAATACCAGAATTCGCCAACCTACAGTTGCAAGTTTGAAAATGAAGATTTATCAAAGCAACTAGAGGGTCTAGAAAGTATTATTTTACCAGATAAAGGTATATATCAATATACGTGACTATATACCTTTCCGGACGGGTTTAAGTTTGAAATTTGACTGAGCGCGAGGGTTTTCAGAGTCGCTTGTAGGGTGGCTGCTCACCTCACGACAGTCTCCACTAAGAAGATTGGATTCAGATGATTTCCGACACACTCTGCTTCTTTTCTTAATAGCGCATTCTCCCAGACTGCTGTTCGTCCATCTCTTGATGTTGTTCATAAACCTGCAACATTGTCTACCTCTTTCTTTCTTTCTTTCTTTCTTTCTTCGACAATTTCTTCCAGTTTGGCTTTGAAAAGAGTGTTTATCTTTTAAGGTTAGCCTGAAATATTTGTGATTTTTCTTTGTTTCAGTAACTCTTTCCAATTGTTTGTTTCCATTTGGTAACTCTCTTTTTATTCTCATCATTAAAACAGCGGCAGCAAGAACAACAACAACAAAAACAACAACAACAACAACCAATCTACCAACATGGTATAAGAATTATTTATTAATTACAGCGATCAAATCATTTTATTTCGTGTGCTTGATCTTTCATGATTATAAAACAAATAAAGAGTCTGAAGGCCTCTCTGTATCTACTGCTCATATTGTAGTAGATAAAGATGTTGAAAGAAGCATTGATTGTCTCCAACATGTAAGCGAATGAGATAAGGACACCATTCAGGTTCCTATAGCTACCAAGTATAGAAATGTCTGGAACTACAAGTTTCCCAATAAACAGCAGGCAGACAGGAGCATAACAGACAATAAATAGAATGGCAATTAGCACAACCATCTTGGAAACAGATTTATCCCGGCTAGAAGGTGAACTAGAATTGTTTGGTCCGGTTGATATTTTACGCCATTTTGTTTTTCTCCGCAAGGAGTTAACCATAACAACAGTTGATACAGAGATGATAGTGAATGTGGTGAAGGGAATCAAACAGTTGTTGATGGCAAACGAAAACTTCTCAACGACCGGCTGGTCTTCGGTGTATGCAATTCCTAGCCAGGTCGTGTTGGGTTTCCTTGGGTGTGGTAACATGGCGAATCTAGTCGTGTAGTAGACTGGCGCCATGTAGCCCGACAATATCACAATGTAAATTGTGATAATGATAATAGTGACCCTTTTGACAGTGAATATCAGTTTAACCTGAAAGAAAAAAAAATAATAACTGAATGATTTGATATGATTTGATTTGATTCAAGAACCGACATCACAGCGCTCGGGGCATTCCCATAACGCTCCGTCCCCATCTTCAGCAGCCAGCGAAGAGTTCCGATACTAATGGTGCCAGTAGCATTCTGATTAAAAGTCCGTCTTGCCTTTCATCTGAGCCTCGAGCATCTGCCAGAATCTCTCGTCACCCCCAACTGCATCAATCTCACCAGACTGGTGAATAACTGAATATCATTGTACACTTGATAAACAGACATCCTGCGCAATACACCAGGTCTCTATTGTGGGGAAAACATGAATAGATCCACTGCATTCCCAGCAAGCATGTCGTAGGAGTTGACTAACTGGGTACTTCCTTCGAAGTCGGAGTGCACCTGCCGAGAGGCAAGGAACAACCAGCTGCACATAAATAAGTCAGTAAAACGGATGTACACGCAAAACTCAGGCCCTGTCACAAAGCCAAAGTCCAAATGGACGAACAGCCAGGACTTCCCGCCGGAGCTTACAGCCGTGGGACACAAAAGAAAAAGAAGACAAGACTTTTAATGTTTGTTAGTCTCTCTTGCTCAAGTTTACCTAACCTTTCCGTGGCTTCCCTTGCTCTTGTGTATAGCCATAACTTTAGCACACTTGCTTTTCGACTATGCCCAATATGGTTTTTGTCGTGCACTGCACACTCATAAAAAAGCGAGTAGTCTGTTACAAAATAACTCATCGTGTCTTATGCTGCATGTCGTGTGCAAATACTGATTAGTTACAACTGCTGTTTCCTTAGAAGATACACTGCAATTCCAGCTGCGAACTGTTTGTGTTGGTACTTTTGTCGTCTGCCTTGTGCATTAAATGAGTGGTTAAGCCATTGTTTTGCCGGTCTGTAATCTGTTTCATTCGTTTTTCTTCCCAAGAGAAGCAGCTAGTAAAATTCTGTGCGGTTTTTGCTAGCATATGAAAAGAGCAAGTTTGAGGTGATACATTTGCAGTGTAGTTAGAACTGTCACTAAGAAACTCTTGCCTTTGGAAGCACAGTTGGTTAGTTAGAACTGTTACTAAGAAACTCTTGCCTTTGGAAGCACAGTTGGTTAGTTAGAACTGTCACTAACAAACTCTCGCCCCTGGAAGCACAGTTGGTTAGTTAGAACTGTCACTAACAAACTCTTACCGTTGGAAGCACAGTTGGTTAGTTAGAACTGTCACTAACAAGCTCTTACCTTTGGAAGCACAGTTGGTTAGTTAGAACTGTCACTAACAAACTCTTACCGTTGGAAGCACAGTTGGTTAGTTAGAACTGTCACTAACAAACTCTTGCGTTTGGAATCACAGTTAGTTACTTCAATGGTTGGATGCGGCTCTAAAACAATCATCGCGTCAACCGAAGATACGAAACTCCCTAAAATCACATCTCACCTTCAAGGGAAGAACCACACACATGCATCTCTCCAGGGCAATGAATGCGGTGATGCAGCAGGTGACTCGTGTGAACGCCACGTGTGGGGTGCCAGATGTTAGCTGCACGATGAAGGGTGACATGGCCAGATCATCGGACTCGTAAACCAACGGATTTAAGCAAATGTTGTGCCAGATAAGTATCACCAAACTCAGCAGTTCAGATATTGTCAAACCTGGAAATGAGATTCAGAAAACTTCATCATTTTAGCCACGTATAGTAGCTCAGATATTACCAGATCAAAGAATGTGATTGAACAAGCCTAATCGTTGTAGGTATGAACATTAGATCAGATACTGTCCAACGTAAGATTGTGATTAAAGAGGCTTCACTATTATAGCCATGTATCAATCCAACACGCTCTGTCTCTTGTCTTGGTTTTGCACTTACTTAGACAGCTGCCCGTCCATCTCTTGACATTGTCCTCCCACTTGTATCGTTGCCTGCCTCTTGCTCTCTTGCCTTCGACCTTTCCCTTCAGTGTGGTTTTTAAAAGTGTGTTATGTCTTTTATTGTGACCAAAGTATTTCAATTGCTTCTTTTTTTCAGTTTAGTCCTTCTCTTTTAATTTCTTGCCTTTCCAGAACCTCTGTATTGGACCGTTTGTTTCCAAGAAATACGACATATTCTTTTGTATACCCACATTTCCAGGGACTTAGTTCGACTTTCTAGCTACTTTTTCACTTAAATAATGAGGATACAAATAATGCATTGCACATCATTCCACCCCACCCAACCCTACCCCGAAAGAAATTACGGTATCCAAACTACGAGTATATATTGCACTTATTTATCAAGGTGATAACGTCATGCAGCGTCTGACGGACCGACTGAAAACTGCAGCTGGCCAAACATTCTTTACGGCTGTTTCAGTAGTGAGATACAAGACAACTCCTATCCCAACCCCACCTATTGAACAGCTCGTTTATCCGTAAACCAAATCTAATTGTATATACTTGTTTACTGCACCGTAAAGCAGGATTGGGTATACATAACAGTTAAAAATTCTCATTTTTAGTGTGTTGTTTATCTCTCTAGCTGTCAGTAACTTGTGCATCTTATTGAAGACAGTTTAAGCCATTCATATTCTCTTTTTGAATTCTGTGGCGCTTCTTTCTTAGCAGAAAATTGTTACTTGTTCTAATAACTCTCCGTTAACTGTGATGTTAACACTTAGCTGCGCCTTTTCGCTGTTAATTACCATTGTTTCAGTTTTTTTCAATGTTAATGACTAAACTATACGCTGCACACCGCCTGTTGGCGTTATCAACTAGTTCTTGTAACTCCTGCTCGCTTTCTGCTAGTAACATTGTGTCATCTGCGTATCTCAGATTGTTTACAGTTCTTCCATTAATGTTCAATACAGACATTTCCTCAGCTTGTTTCAAAAAATGTTTTCTGTATATTAGTTGAAATGGCTTGGGGATAACACACATCCCTGGCGTACCCCTCTTTGTAACTCTATCTGGTTAGGCAATGTTGTGTTTGTTCCTGTTTGTTCCCAGTGAAGATTACTAATAGTTCCAATATCTTTCATCTAATCCTATATTTTGGAGACATGCAATTAGCATTTTCATGTTGCACCCTGTCAGAGGCCTTCTTGTAATTCTATGAATCAACATAAATACATTTTTAGGACTAAATATTTTTCAGTCAGCATTTATAGATAAGAGGAACGGCTGACCAAACGTTTAGACCACTAGGCTCTTAAGCTGGAGACCCGGGTTCGAATCCTCAATAAGGTTGAGGATTTTTTCTGTCAGGGGAATAAGTCCTCAAACTCAACACCCCCCCCCCCCCCCCCCACCCCTTACACTACAAAAGTGGTATATTTACGGCAGTAATTGGCAATTTTATTTATAGTCAAATGCTGGCTTCCCTATGGCCAGTATATTTCCGAAATGCAAACTTTTCCTTAGAAACTACATTATTTATTTTGAATTCTTTGATTTATGATTTTGAGAAATATCTTAGATATATGGCTCATCAAACATTCTTTACATTGTAAGTAATTACGTTTAAATTTGCACTTTACATGTATATCAGATCATGGAAATGTGGTTCAGCAAACTTCATCATTCTAGCCATGTAAATTAGATCAAAAATCGTCAGACCTTGGAATGTGATTGAGCAAACTTCATTATTCTAGCCATGTATATTAGATCAAATATCGTCAGACCTTGGAATGTGGTTCAGCAAACTTGATCACTGTAGATTTTGTCCATCTTCGAGTTGTAAAAGTTAAGGACGTTTTTCTACGCTTTCAGATATATAGGGCAAATATGACTAAACCCTCTTTTATAGATCAATCGGCCCTCATTGGGTCATGTTGTCACCATCACACCGGCCGACTTTACTTCCCATGACTTTACCTGGTACCCTCTCAATGCTGGGTCAGCCAGGGGGCCAAGGACACTTTTGAGAAACTTTCGTGTTAGAACCGACGACTGGATTCGCAGGCTAGCGTCTAGCCGCTACGCCACGGAGGCTCCCAAACCTCGAGAAGAATTTTTGGGCAATGTAATCAACTGTGGCAGATTGAGTGGTTCAGACATGGTTACATCTGGAGATAGGATTCAGAGAAATAAATCAACTGTGGCAGATTGAGTGGTTCAGACATGGTTACATCTGGAGATAGGATTCAGAGAAATAAATCAACTGTGGCAGATTGAGTGGTTCAGACATGGTTACATCTGGAGATAGGATTCAGAGAAATAAATCAACTGTGGCAGATTGAGTGGTTCAGACATAGTTACATCTGGAGATAGGATTCAGAGAAATAAATCAACTGTGGCAGATTGAGTGGTTCAGACATGGTTACATCTGGAGATAGGATTCAGAGAAAATAAATCAACTGTGGCAGATTGAGTGTTCAGACATAGTTACATCTGGAGATAGGATTCAGAGAAATAAATCAACTGTGGCAGATTGAGTGGTTCAGACATGGTTACATCTGGAGATAGGATTCAGAGAAATAAATCAACTGTGGCAGATTGAGTGGTTCAGACATAGTTACATCTGGAGATAGGATTCAGAGAAATAAATCAACTGTGGCAGATTGAGTGGTTCAGACATGGTTACATCTGGAGATAGGATTCAGAGAAAAAAATCAAAATTATTTTCAGTTTGCATGTTTATAAACCTGAGATAGGTTTAAAATTAGATTACTTTTGCCAGATGTTTTATTTCAGACAGCGTTATGCCTAGGATATGATTGCCATCAATGTAAACAGAGTGTTTTTGCTTATATACAAGGATAAAGTCGAGCAAGTTAAATGTTGAATGTTGAATTAGGGAATCGACATCATAGCACTCGTGACACTCCCATAAGCGCTCTGTCTCCATCTTCAGCAGCAAAAGAAGAGTTCCGATTCCAAAGGCACCAGTAACTGTCTGATTGTATTTCCGTCCCGCCCTACCCTTGAGTGTTGAGCGTCGGCCAGATCCCCTGGCAACTCCTTGCAGCGCCATTCTCCTCAGACCGTAGTGATCAATTTGCGCTTCGGCACAGTTCACTCGCTCCCAGAGG